GGCGATGAGCAAGTCAAGCATTCGAACTCGGCAATCAGTTCAACAAACCACACCGGTCGCCTATATGTACAATGAAATAATTATAGTAAGAATTTTACACAGTCAAGCCGGGGAATCTCCAGACTGCTACATATTATTTTTCTATAGACTGAGTTCTTATATGTGATTAATCCTTTTCTGTTTGGCCTTTCCACTACACGACATAGCATTATGAATATATAAAATCGGCTCTAAAGGATAAAACTTGCTATGTTTGGATAAGAAATATGCGTATTTTCTAGGCCGAGGTGTGTCAACTTATCCAAAAATTCTCTTGTGTTACTCAGGTAGAGCTGGCTCATGCGGCCTTGATATAAGCTTCAGAAACACTTAGAGGCTTAAAAAATACTAAACTATATTCCTACTTGTTTATGTAAATAACTAAATAAATTCTTATTTTATTCTTGACAAAGTGAGACACGCCTTTTGGGCATGATCAGCAAATTGCAATGAAATTGCAATAATGCACATGATAGCCGAACAAGCAGCACTAACTGGGGGAGTTGTACAGTTGGAGACAGTAGTGTGGGCTCATAGGGCCCAAAGGTTGTCTGAAGTCTATGTACACAGAATGCAAGAGGTAGAGATAATAATCAGATCACTTATATGGTATGTTGGTGAGAAACTAGTCCGATGACGTCCCGTACGCAGTATGGGTCGGGTGGGTGAAGTATGAGAAAACGGGTGAAAAATACTTACGAATAGTGGCATGTCACTAATTAGATATGTAGTCGTGTTCGTGCGAGAGCAGATACATACACAGAACTTGTAAATGTGCTGTCGGTCAACTTGCCAATGTGTTAGGGGCGGTGACGTTATTGAGTGGTCAGTCACACCGGCCACGTCGCAGTGTTATTAAACAGACATTTGTAGCTTTTTGTAGGGAAAACGCTTGCCAGGCGAAGACCCACCGCGTCCTGGAACACTGTCGACTGGTGATATAACATTGACAAGTTTGCATCTGACCGATTATCCTCGCGGATATTCGCAGTCACGTAACGCCAACTTGTTTCCTATGGCCTTGTAGTCGCCTTCGGAGTCGACTGCAAGTGGTTGGAGCTGTTGAAGTCGGACGACTCGGGTGACGTTTATTGAGCTGATCAGTTTTCTAGGTTCTTTAGTGTGTCAGGATTACGAAGTGCTGGTTTTTCCTTTGTTCTGTATTGATGCCATGCCCGTGGGAGCGTCGTAGTTATGGGCTCAGCGGTGCTTAGTGCAGGTAGTAATATCCTTTAGAACAAGGGAGAGCAGTAAAACGGACCGAGCAAACTGCCAACAGAACTGAACAGGACTATGCTGTTTTATACATATAATATTTATGGCAAAGTTGTGCTGGTTGAAGGCGATGGAGTGACCGTATATGTTATACAGCGTATCGTAGTTTTGCGATCAAGCACGAGACCCGATATTTGCTGAATGTGAGAGGAAGCTGCTGGCCGAAGTGGCTTAGCGTAAGCAAGAGTTGTCCTGTTTGGAAAACGTGACTATCAGGCGTTGTTAACCGGTAAATGAGTTAAGGGAATCAGAAGAACATGGTGAGTGGTTTAATAAGCGCTTACGATATAGGTTGAGCGATCTGTTGAGAGTGCTTGAGCTTATCGTTCGAACATGTACCAGAGCCAGCGAAGTTATTACGCCGGGTTTGAGGCCATGAAAATAATAACGCAACATGTTCAGCAATCGGATCCTAGACAGCTGGGTGAAGGGGTGAGACGGAGTGTCAAATTTGTGACGAGAATGGGATTTATATACTATACTACAGTACTATGCTATACTATAGTATATATTACATATACTACAACTGTAGCGACAGTGCGGATGCAAAGCTAGCCCTAAAGGGACCTGGAATAGCGGAAAAAGATAGGAACTCCTACAGTAGTGCCAACAAGTCAAATATACGACATGAAAGGGTGATAATGGGAGTCGGGCTAGTTATGTGGAAGAAACTGCTTGCTGACAGGCCTTCAACTTTAATAACAAGAGACAGAAGTGCTTGAATACTACAGGTTTAGTTAGAAAATGGTTGTAGAGCCAGCGCCGAAGGGGACCTGGAATATCAGTATTGTGATCAGCAGCCGCAAAAGATGCTACGTGTGCCACTCTGATGTGGACATCCACGATGGAACGTTGAAGTCAAATAGGTTGCTAGTTATAACGCACTAATTGGTGAGCTGCTGGCAGCCTGATTAGTTAGTATACAGGAGCAGCACGCTTTATTAGGCTCAGCATAGTCTAATAGGTGTACAGCGTGGAATACAAGAGAGAACAGACAGTAATACTTGCGACCGCTGTAGAGAGAAAACGACAGTGGTGCCGGCTCCGGAAGGGACCAAGGTTAAGGAAATAATACAGAAAGCACAGCCAATTGCTAAGTTTTCACCACAAGATTTGCGATGACCAGAGGAGGTGCATAAAAGGTATACAATAGAGTATGGTTAAACATAGGAGTGGATGAGACCCAAGAAGTTCAAGTGCTCAGAATCTGGCGCTGGTGGAATAAGAAAGTCATCAGTCCAATAGACGGGGATGTGAGAATCAAAATTGCATGGCAGCCGATGAGCTGAGGCTAGAGGTACTTATACCACCATTGAATAATTGCGATATGGACGAACAGAGACGCCAAACAAGAGAGGAAGACGTTAATGGGGGCTGAGATGCATGATAGTGGAGCAGAGAGGCAAAACTCAATCAACGACCGGAAATATCGATTTCGGTAGGCGTTACCAAGCACAGAAAATAATGATTCAGACCAAGATGTGTATCATGAGGTTATAACTTATACCAATGAGTACCTTAGTCGATGGTAGCCGATGCTCAAAATAAGAGAGGCACTGGTTTGAGACCCATTGGCATTTGGAGCCTAAGAGGCCGGACTAGTCCAAAAGGTTTAAAAGTGAGTGCCACAGAAGCGAAGAGAATCAAACGGGGGCTAGTATATTGCGCTGACGTTAGGGGCACCTATTCCGCCATTGAACCGATGCGATATGGACCAAAAGAGAGGCCAAATAAGTGAGCGAGACGATACTTGGGAACTGAGAAGAAGGATAGTGGAGCCAAAAGGCAAAATTAGCCAAGGACCGGAAATTTTAATTTGGTAGGGGGACCAAGCATACAAATACTGGATCAGACGGAGACGAGTATCGTGAGGTTGCTACTTTTACCAGTTAGAATATTAGTTGATGGCTGTCGATGTTCAAATGAAAAGAGGCCTTGGTTTGAGACCTATAGGCATTTGGAGTCCGAGAGGCCGGACTAGTCGAGAAGATTTAAGAATGAGTGCCACAGCAAAGAGCTCAAACGAGGCCTAGGATGTTGCCCTGACGCTATTGGTACCTGTTCCGCCATTGAACCCATGCGATATGGACCAAAAGCGAGGCCAAACAAGAGAGGGGAACGTAATTGTGAGCTGAGATTCATGATAGTTCAGCCGAGAGGCAAAATTCAATTAGAGACCTGAAATTGCAATTTTGCAGGGGACCAAGCTCAGTATCCACTGAAAATGGCATGCTTAGGTCTTGTAACCGTGAGTGAATTATAAGTGCTCCAAAATTGCCATGGCGACATAATATTCCTTACTGGATTTCTAGCGTTTTCGCGCAGAATTATACCTCATCTGCGTATATTCGCCATGTAAGCCTGCGAAGCGTACTTTTCGGTCATCTACGCAGTCCTTAGTTGTTGCAGGGTATTACGGGCTAATTAGAGCATATTTGGATAGCTATGCTTATTTAGAACATACACGGCTTCGCTACTCTTCATATTTTCTTTTCTTTTTTCTACTATCTGCTTACAAAGCAAAAAGCCATTTTTAGCGAAAAAGAATAGTGGCCTTATTCGCAGACCACCATTCACTTGTGAATAACTCGCAAACTACTACACGTATTGAATTGTTTTCACTTTCATCGTAATCAGCGGTTATAACTTGTCCTGTGCAGCTTATTTTTGTGCTGCTTTGGGCAGTATTCTAGCTTTAGAATAAATAAATAAATAAATAAACGGTATATTCTCTATAAAACGAGACACACCTCTAAAGGCATGATCAAATATGCATACAAGCATAGCTTCTTTGGAATATTAAAACATTTCTTTTCAATGAAAGGAAGAAACGAAAAGATGTAGTCCATATGAGCGAGCATATTGACAGGTGATAGTCAGATCAAGGACCATGATGGCGCTGTGGCGCGCAAAAACTTTTGCGTCAAGAACCAAGTGGGGGGTAAATTTGCCATGTAGTGATCCATGAGCACAGGAGCCCAAACAAGGTTTAGTGCAAGCAATGACCATTACGAAGCCGGGATGATCTGTACTGCACTAAAGCATTCTTCATAGCAGAATTAGTTGCACAGGTTGGATGTAGGAGGCTGAGGACTGCGTCAGTGTGAAATGTATAGCTGTGACTTTATTTTGTGGCGAGTCACATCCGCCACGTTGCAGTGTTGTTAAGCGGACATTTGTGGCTTTTTATAGGGAGAACGCTTGCCAGGCGAAAACCCACCACGTCCTGGAACACTGTCGTATTTTCCGTTGAACTGTAGTGCTAGTCGGCTATGCATCGTATAGACCGATTTTGCACTCTATTATTCGCAGTCGGTTGAAAGCCAAAATTCTTCCTTCGTTGGCCGAATGGCTTAGTAATGATCCGGCAGTAGTCGTTGAAGCCGGTCAATGATGTAAAAGAGTCGCAAAGCTGAATGAAATTGATGCAGGTGAGTAAACACATTGTTAATAGAGGCCTGCTTTTTCTATTATATTGTCCGGCTCGCAACGCGTGACCAACTATCCATACTGGACTTGTCATAGGGACGGTAAGTGCAGTTGTTTCTTGAGTCTGAATATGTCCATAACAGGAAGAAATGCTATTCTCCGCAAAGTGGACTAGTAATTCCTTCAAATGTAAGTGCAAGTGTCTCCATGGCCAAGTGAGAACTCCATGAAAGATCATCGGAAAAGCCGCTTATACGCGCGCAATGCTGTCCGTGAAATGTCATCAGAAAAGCTCCAGGTGACTGGAGAATCGGAATGTTTGAGGCAGTGAAGATAATCACGCCAGAATTGTCTGTCTTCGGTTGTGGAACAGTGGATCCATGTAAATACATTATTCCAGGTGAGTAAATTGTTCTACTGTGAGTACGAGGCGAGCTAAACCCATTTGTTTAGACCCCGTGGTGGTAGCTTCTCCAGAATGGCGGAAAGAGCTCCATTTGGAACGATATGTGGGTTCTTCATCTCCCGGAGAAAAGATCAAGCATGTAAACCAGCTGACTATTGAGGGTGGGTCGACCAGTCCCAGTGGATAAACCTTCTTGTTTTGGCTGATGTATCTGTGGAAATCTCGGGAGAAAACGGGCAACGGACAAGAGGCAGCCAAACAGAAAGACAGCAATGAAGCAAGAAGCACAAACATAGACTGGTGGCGCGCAACGGTGCCTATGATACATTAAAATTTATGTAATTTTGTTTAGTATACATGATTTGCAAGCGCGTTCTTTACATCACGTCGCTGGTGTGACTCAAACTACAACTACTAGGTAGAAAGAAGGATCTGCACGCGCAGGGTCAAGAGACGGATATAACAAAGCGAGTTGACAAAGTTAAGCGATTAATATGATTGTTGGAGAGTAACAGGTAACCGACGATGATGACAGCAGACCGAATGCGAGCGGCATCTTAGGTGAAACTAAGGACAACTAGGTTGAGACCGAATGCGGGAGCAACATAGGTAAGGCAACGTTTTAAGAAGAAAAGGAAATTTAAAGAATCAGCTATGAGCGGAAGAATGCGGACGGCAGTGCGAAGAGTAAATCGTGAGAGCAATTAGGAGACGATAGTCAGGATGAAAAAGTTTTACTACTAAAGTGTGGTGAAGCCAAGGACGCTCTCGTGCGAAGTATGAATCGATCAGTCCTGAAAAATCACCGGTAATATCCCGGTAGTCAGAGAGAACTCTGAGAGCCGGAGACCGAACAGACGAGACTTGAATAGTCGACACATCCTTAGGCCTCGTACTAGTCCCAGAGCATTTCACTGATCAGATGATGACAAAGAAGGGCATGGCACTAAGCGTCGGTCATCCGATTGAAGGATAGAGGGTACAGGTTACCGATGGAAGTGCCTATATTAATAAAGGGTAAACAAGTCTGCCCGGCTGTCAATGTAAGCAAGACATACTTTTGGGTCTATAGAGATTAGATCGGTATATCTTGCTACTCTGGAAAAGGTCAAAGGAGCAGACCGGTCAGATGAGACTAGGTTATTACAAGGCACGGAGAGTTGGCAGTCCGATTAGAGAAGAAATGACAGTAGAGAACGCCATAAGGAGAGGAGACGGTCCGGATAGAGAGAGGTTTACTTATAAGGTGTGGAAAAGTCCATGGGGCTCGAGAGGTAATGGGGACAGAGCGTTCGGTGTTCTCATCGAATGCTGGTAACGTCGCAGCAGTCTGAATGAATTCGGAGAGCAGGGGACCGATCAGACGAGACTGGATTAGTCGGCACATTGGGAGTAAGTCGAACAGTTAAGGTGGGAAAATAAATAAAGAGTCAGCGGAGACGGATAGGTTTGGGATGCAAGTGGCTACATGAATATAAGGTATGCAAGTCAGGCAGGCTCGCAATGTGAGAGAAGTTGTGTGTTGGTGATACAGAGCCTAAGACTACATTGCGCTAGTTAGGAAGCAGTCAAAGAGGATAATAGGGCAGGGCTCTGAGAGCTCGCTATGCGGATGAAGAAGTGATAAAGACAGGCCGCGATAAGGAGAGGACAGAGTCGAGAGTTTACGTTTACGGATAAGGAATGCCACAGTTAACGTGGCTCTCGAGGTAATGGTGACCGAGCATTCAGTCATCCGAGTATGGCAGGCAGCGTCGCAGAAGTAGGAGAGAAGAAGACCGATCTGCCGAGGTTGGACTTGGTCGGCGCATTGTGATTGAGTCCTATGGTTCATTTGGGAAGGAAAGTGGAGTCAGTAAGATTGGACTGGTCAGAGATAGAAGTAGTTATGTTAACATAGGGCGAACAAGTTCGGCAGGATATCAAGGTGAGGGAGGAAGTGCTTTGGATCGACGGAGCCTAGACCGCTAACATCCCGGTAGCCTGGTAGCAGTCCCATAGAATTTGGCTGATCAGCTGAGGCTGTGTTACGGATGACAGATCGTCCGATTGAAGAATGATTGAATACAAACGGCGCTCAGTCATCTGAACGATAGCCAGTAATGTCACAGGAGTCTGAGAGAAGTTGGAAAGCAGGAGACCGATCAGACGAGGCAGGATTAGTCGGCGAAACGAGATTGAGTCCAACAGCTAATTTTTGGAGGGCAAATGGAGTGGGTCGAAAGGTGGAGGTGCCTATATAAATAGAGGGTGAACAAGTCTAGCATGCTGTCAACGTAAGTGCGACATACCTTGAGTCTACAGAGTCTAGACCGTTTAAATGTTGCTGGTATGGAAAAGGACAAAGAAGCAGACCGGTCAGATGAGACTAGGTCATTACAGGGCACTGAGAGTTGGCAGTCCGATTAGAGAAGAAATGATAGGAGAGGAGACGGTCCGGATAGAGAGAGGTTTACTTATAAGGTGTGGAAAAGTCCATGGGGCTCGAGAGGTAATGGGGACAGAGCGTTCGGTGTTCTCATCAAATGCCGGTAACGTCGCAGCAGTCTGAATGAATTCGGAGAGCAGGGGACCGATCAGACGAGACTGGATTAGTCGGCACATTGGGAGTAAGTCGTACAGTTGAGGTGGGAAGATAAATAAAGTGTCGGCAGAGATGGACAGGTTACGGATTGAAGAGGGTAAATGAATATAGGGTATACAAGTCAGGCAGGCTCGCAATGTGTGAGATGTTGTGTGTTGGTGAAGCAGAGCGTAGAACTACATTTCGTTATTCAGGAAGCGGTCAAAGAGGATAATAGGGTATGGCACTGAGAGCACGCTCTCCGGATGAAGAAGAAGTAAGGGAGGAAGGGAGCTTTATTAGTGATGGTTGAAGAATTCGTGAGTCTATATGTGATCGGGGCCGTTCTCCCAGAGCTCGTCCTCGGGGATGCAGATGCCCAAGATCTCTGCTACCTTGGGGACGCTTAATAGTCTATTTATGACCGTGGAGAATTGCGTGAGACTATCAGATGCTCTGACGGCTTCCGGTAGCTTATTCCAGACATGCGCATATCTATAGAGGAAGAAGTTAGAACGTATGGAGCAACGTGTGTTGGGTAGGGAAAATGAGTGTGCCTTATGGCGTAGAGGATAACGTGTATCGCCAGGCGGCAGAAAAAACTAGCGACACTTGAGTCCGGTGTCTTGATTAGCTTATATAGGAAAACAAGGTTGGTTTTAAGTCGTCGCAGCCAAAGCGGTTCCAGACCAAGCTGCTTGCAGCGGCCTTGATAGTTGAGCACAGATGCTCCTAATAGACGTTTAGTGAACGAACGCTGTACTTTCTCAATAACCATCCTGTCACTTTTACGTGAGTTAGTAACAACGATTGAGCAGTACTCTACTATAGGCCTTGCACACAACTTATAGAGCATGAGTCGAGACTCTAACAAGCACATTGACTTCATTATATAACCAATGATAGACCTGGCTTTGGCAGAGCTATAGCTCGCTTGTTCCGCAAAATTCAATGAGCAGGAATAGTGTACACCGAGATCACGCACAGTGAAGCTGTTATCAAGTGGTGAACCGTTAAGAGTTAATACTTTGGGGGGTATGGAGCATCGGTAGGAAAGGACGTTGCATTTCGTTGGTGAAAACTCTAGTTTCCATAGATCGCACCATGTTTCAAGAGCACTGAGATCGCTTTGAATGCTAGAGAGACTATTACGTAGACAGCTAGGGTCAAATGAGAAAATAACTTTTATGTCATCGGCAAAAAGGTACGGCGTGCCGTGTTTGAAGACCTGGAATACATCATTAATGTACAGCAAAAACAGCAGAGGACCCAGAACGCTGCCTTGGAATACTCCGCTGGTTACGGATGCCTTTTTGGATGAGATGTCGCCCAGTTGCACTGACTGTGTTCGGTTGGAAAGGTAGGAAGAAAACCATGAAAGGAGATGGCTGGAGACACCGTATGCTGCTAGTTTAGTCATTAAACCATTGTGTGGGACCCGATCAAACGCTTTTTTCATATCCAGGAAGATAATAACCAGTGCCTGACCTAGGTCGATGGAGTGTGTCACGTGGTTTAAGAATTCAAACTGGCAGGTTTGACAGGATTTAGTCGGCAAGAACCCGTGTTGGGACCTATTGATAAGGTTGCGTGGCAACAGAAAGCAAAGCATCGCGTCCTTGATTATCCTTTCCATGAGTCGAGACGCAATAGCTGTATGACTAATGGGACGATAATTGTCAATATTTAGGCGACAACCTCGTTTGTGTCGTGGTATGACGGTTGCGTGCTTCCAATTGGACGGGTAGTGACCACTCTTCATTGAGAGGGTGAAGACATTGAGGAGCAGGACTGGAATGTCCGGACCTCCGAGTTTTAAAATGGAAGAAGGCATACCGTCGGGACCTGGGTAGTGTGACGGTTTCAAGGAGCAAAGTGCTCGCTTGATAGTGCATAAGTCAAAGTCAATAGTATGAATTTGATCTTCAGTGAACTTGGGTATCGTATTTGGCAATGCCAAGTCATTGCTAGTGAAGGAGTTACAGAACTGTGTGTTAATGAACTCGCAGAGATCAACCGCATCAGTGATTATACTTTTATCAGGAAGCACTAAGGTAGTAATCGGGGTATCTTTTCTGCCACCCCGCTGCTTCAGTAGTCGAATGAGAGACTTTGCTTTGTTTTCAGTACAAAGCGCTGCATGCTCTACTAATGTACGCGCGGTACTTTGTGAATTTCTCCAGTCGGCTAGCAATTCGTTCATACGGATGATTAGGTGAAAGCTTTTGGTCTTGATGTAGCGGGAGCGCATTTTCTTGAGTCTGCTGGTCAGGTTGCGTGTGGAGGTGTCGTCAAGATTTTGACGCTTTTTGATTCTCTTCTGTTTTGGAGTAAGGACATCTAAGCAGGTGGTGAAATTGTTGTAAAGCACGTCGGTCGCAGTATCTATGTTGTCGGAGAAGAAGAAGTCGTCCCAGGGTGATGATCGGAGGAGGGAGGAGAAGATGTCCCAGTTAATGCGCTGGAGGGGCCGAAATATCTCATATTTCGTGACTGCATGTTGACGGGGTTTAGGGAGCACGAAGGACAGCTTCACCACCTTGTGATCGCTGCCCGGTATGTTGTCTAACACGCCGGCGCATGCGTGCGAGATACCGTTAGTGAATATAAGGTCCAGTGTGTTCGATTGTCTAGTCGGTACATTCACATGCTGTGTCCATTCATGAGTGGAAATAGTGTCAACAAGGGCCCTGTACTTGGGTGGGGCCGACTGTCCGAGCCACGAAACATGAGGCATGTTGAAGTCTCCAGCAATGATCTTATAGCGTGAAGGGAGAAATGAGACTTCCTGAAAGAGTCTGACAAATATGTTAA